TTTCACTGGTGCCGATTTCAATCACCTTTTTGACTGACATGATTCTTAGCAAACATTTGTAATATATAACTGCTTTTATTCAAAACAACACCTGCATCAAGCTCAACACCCAAATAGAAATCTCGACCCATCGTTAAATATCACAATAATTCCACGATCTTTTGAGGTACATGTGTGAAGGTAATAATTCGGTAAAATGACTTTAAATCGGGTTTGTGTTGGATTTATAAGCCGTAGGACTAGCTGTATTTTTGGCTTGCAGCCACAGCTGCAAGCCATCTGTTTTGGAAAACTTGTTCCGGTTAGGTGGTTTTCTGCTTACATTTGTAAGTGCATGATTGAATGTGAAACCAGCTGCAATCGTGCCAATCGCAACTTTTCGGCCTTTTCCGTCACTCTTCGGATAAATGATAATAGCCGATGTAGTTCCGATTGCAATCGTGACAATTCGGGCGATTCCGTAATACTGCGAAATCAGACGAAGTAATATTACGGAAATCTAAGCTATTTTAGTAACTTCGGTAATCCAAGTTTGTTTATTTAAATAGGATTTCTATTTTTAGTTGATTTATTGGTTTAAACCGTAATAAATTATAAACGAAATTGTTCCGTTTCAATTCTTTTTCAAGACGCAAGAGTTAGTTTCTTTTATAATTGTTTTTGTCTGTATTAGTTTTATACAATAGAGAATGTTGTCTGTAGTAGTATTCCGTCTCCAAATCACAGAGAATATTAGTGCATGATCGAGTTATATTTAAATCTACTGATCTTGGTGAGGTAATCTAAAAATAGCCCATGCAAATCATTAAGTAACCCTTAATACGTGCTGATCTACAGATAGCGCATCGTATCTGTGATCGTGTAACATAGTTGATACATGCTTATTAATTGGTGCCACGTAACGAAGTATTTAAGTGCATTTACTTGTCTATAAAGCTGCTAAATACTGCCAAAACAAATGATTTCTCTGCGAAAAAGTGGAAATGAAATGTGCACACTTGTTTCCCTTCAGTATGATAGATTGATCTCCACGTTAGTATTTTTACGATTGATTATTTTCTTTAATAGTTTTATACAATAGAGAATAGATTTCAAATCGTTTTGACAAAAAATATTCGTCTTTACAAAAAAAAAACAACAACTAAATAAACCCTTTATGATATACAAATACCGTTATTCAAAAAAAATTGTGATAATAAATTGAAACCAAAAAAAAAAAACAATTTTAAAGGGTTGGGATGAAGGCACAACTGTGCAAGCCTTTCTTTTTAAAAGGAAACTTTATTAATATTGTCCAACAACATTGACCTGGCACTCTTGCATTTGACCCTGTAGTCGGTATTTTCCGTAAACGTTACGTAATAGAAAGAGTATCGAAACACGAGGCTATCTGATTTGTACGAGGGGGCGTAGCCCCCGAGTATTAATCAGATTGCCGAGTGTTTTGATGTTCTTTCTCTTTTGTATCATAGTCATGTCACAATATGAAACCCCGGGAAAAAATAACCAATGAACAGCATCTGAATATAATATTTCTGTCGCTTTCCCTTTCTCTTCCGTCACAATAAGTAAACCCCAGCAAAAATAAGCCAATCAATGGACATGCTCTGGAGTACGGGTAACTAATACCTGCACTCCAGTTAACGCATTGTGCATGTATATGTATACGATTTAACTCTGACACATTTTCAACAGAAATGTTACAAGATCTACTTGTAAATCGATATCAAATTGTTACGAAAATCCCTCATAGGTATTTACTTGAGAAATGTGGACGTTTACTGGTAGGTTCGAATCCAATTCAGCGAACTATTTTCTATTTTAATTTTAAAATCACCATTTTCTTAAAACTATTGCCTATCGTTTTTGTTGTGTGTTCTATCTGTGTTGTATCTTTAATAACTGCCTCTATAGCGTGTATGCGCTAAGTAAATACGATTGCTTAATGTCAAAAAGAAAAACGTCGAAAGATACTGTAATAAAATAAAAATATATTACCGTGAATAAAAAAAAAACATCACTTAAAATGTATTCTAAAACAAGTTGTAGTAAAACTATTTCAAATTAATTCTTGCAAGTAAATTAAAAAAAATCATAACCTGGTGTTGGTAAGGAATCGAACCAGAAACCTTCAGATCGTAAGTCCGACATCTATACCAATACACCACACCTCACTGACGAGTGAAATTAGCAAATATATCGATATATTCGATATATACTGGTAAGTGTTTATTCAAGTGAACTTTACGAAAGTTAATGAGGTGCTAGGTCAATATTGTTGGACAAATACAAACACTTACGTTGATAGTTGAGGCTTCTTGTTTAATTCCGTCACGACCGTCAGCTCCGAATATTCAATACGAAATTTAGCTAACAATGAGGCCATTCTATAAAAGAAAAAAGATATGAGTTTAGTAAATAAAAAGGCCTTAGTTATTATAGATTACAAACAAAAGACAATAGACCGACAATTGACTAAAGAGGCACGCCTTAGTAAATCAGTCCCGATGCTCTTTCTATCCACGTAAGTTACCTATATTTTATCAAGATATGCAGAAATCGGTAATCAGGTTGATTATTTTTTGTGATGATAGAACCATACAAAACATTTGTCATTAAATCTCTTAATATTGATAGCGTTTTAACGTGATTTATTTGATTGTTTTGTTACTTAAATAAAGATAAACAACTCTACATAAAATACAAACTTGGCTCGATCTTCAGTGATGTCCCCTTTCTTCGTTCCTTGACAAAAGACGCGTAATTTTGAATGTTTCCACTGTTTACTTTTGTGTAAAATGTACGGCAATAAAAGTGCGAGACCTGTAAGATGAAAAGACAGGTATAGATCATGAAAAAAATATGATTTTTATTTTTCAGCTCTTTTGTTAACTTCAAACAGACATTTATGTAAATAATTTAGATAAAAAAACACCATTAACTTAGTCGACATGTTGACATGTATCTCATTTTTTAATCTTTATATGAAAATTCTACTGTTATATTTATATTACTGAAAACTATAGTCTGCCAATACTTCGTGCTTATTCTGTCAGCCTCGTTGTATCATTTGGAACCGTAATTAAATTGTTCCTTCTCCTGATCATTAGACTTGTAAGACACGGATAGTGACGAAAGCAGCCGAATATTACCGAGCTAGGGTATATAACATACCTCCGTCGTCGTAAAGCCACCAGACATCTATGGTTCCGTATTGTTTATCTCTGAAATTTGTCGGCGGTTTTTCGGGTACATCTTGTGAGAGTAAGGAAGGGGTGATTGTAGGTTTTGATTCAGATACATGTGGATCTAAATAAATAAACAAAAGTTAAAACATAATGAACAACTAAAAATAAAATTTCGCTTTAAAAGAGTACTAAATTTAATGTAAAAGTAAAAATAACTTACTAAAAATTAATACCATTTAAGATCAATATTCATCAAAGTCTATTAGATTCCATATAATAAAATAGAATAAAACAGTGCTAAAATTATATTAAAGATAACATGTAAAACCGTTCCTTGTCATAGCCGTCATGTTTTTCTAATTAAAAACACTAGATTCTATTTAGTATGCCTTTCATTTATCTTCTACCATGCAAGAAAAGTTAACTACAGTAACATACCCTCAAATGCGGCATTTTCCACTCCTTCCTCTAGCGTTTGTAACCTTATCAAACGGATGTTGTTGGTTTTGTTGTTCCTATCTTTTCTCTCAACAACAGAGCTTGGTATACTGTTTGATTCTTTACGAACGTCTTTTTCCGGTTCCTCAACAGTTTCGTCTATAAACATACAAAATTACAACTCTTGTTTATTTGATATTCATGTCCATGTATTTCAATAAATCAGGATGCATTTAAAAGCATACCACTCCAATCATCTCTCAAAATCTTATAATGTTACAAGTAAGGTCAAACAAACAACATTTTGTGTTAAACTCAGCTTTTTAAAATCTCTCTTATTGCAAAAGAATACAATTTTAATTAATAAAATCATTTGAAAATAAATTTTAGGATATTTTAAAAGAAAATTAAGAAAAATGAAAAATAATAAAAAAACCCCAGAAAATATCGATCGTTTAAAACAACAACAACAACAACAACAAGAGGTCATCAAGGTTATACCATCATCGTCTTCCGGTTCTTCATCAGAATCAAATAATTCAGGACTGTCTAGATCTAGAATATTATCTGGAACTTTATTTCTGTCAAATCCGTCACCACAACGTAAAATTCCTACGCTTTACTTAAAATCAAATGCATCCCTGAAATAAAAAGATGATATCAAATGAGGATAAATAAGTTAAATCATATTTGCTATGATTTAAAATTATAAAGTTTCTAGATTCATGCTGATTTGATTAAACGTAGGAAAAGTTTCATGTATTAAGTGAACAAATAAAATTAGATAGATAACATGAGGCATGTGCCCAAATATGCCAAGCTAGTCGCCCCTTTCACATCCCATATACAATATCAAAGTGATTAACACTTAAACAGCAGTATTTACCAATTCCAGTATTCCAATTAGTACGGAAAATTTCTTCATAGAATGCTACATGATATCGGTGCATATCATGTTTATGCATATGTTATATATTATTCAGTTCTTTCTAATAACCAGTTTGTAAATTGTGCTTACTTAATTTTCAAATAAAGCCATTGTCTTATGGGGAAGGAAATATATATCAACTTAAGAGTTGGAATAATACTGCCCACACCGATAACTATATAATATATACGAAATTTACTGATACAATAAATATGATATACATGTAAAAATCATGAAAATACCTTTGCATTGTCAAATAAAATTGCATATTTTAATTTGAACAAATCGCCTTACTGTATGACGTTAAAGTAGTCAAGAACTTCTAGAGGATCTGTCTTTTGCCAGTCGTTCTTGTAACCAAGTAGTAACGTATTCGGCCGTAATTTCCCCACACCAACAGCCTGATCGTGTAAACAGTAATCAGTAATTAAAGTCATCGTAATGGTCAGTTATATACCATTTAAAGATGACACGTTCGACAGTAATTAGCACAAAGGGAAAAAACGTTTCTGTTAGTCGTCAAACAGAAAGTTGTATTTTTATAATTTAACCTAGCCATGTGTCCAGTTATGTTTACTTTGATTTCAAATATTTTTTGTCATTTGATTCTTATAAAAGGTTAATGTTGGATATTGAAGCTGCGTTTTTCTCGACATTGAAAAAATAAAATCTTTCATTACAATGGAAATATGGTGCATATGTTTGAACCTCAAAGAAGGGCCGATAACACACAATGGTTGCGAAAAGATCAAAAACAGTCGTGTAGTGCCACAATGACCATCAGTACAAAATGTTGGATGCGCTTTTTTAAATTCCAGTGGACAAGACATTCTAAGGCCTTTCCCACCTGGTCACACAGTCACTGGTTAGTTCTACATGAATTCTGTATTAAAATGAATGAAAGCTTCATGATCCATCTTATGCATTACAATTCCTCCTCGCGCAAAATGGAGATTGTTAAATCTTTCTTGATGTCTGAAAATGTTATAGTTGTAAATCATTCGTCTTATACTGATAACTTAAGTTCTTGCGACATCTATCGGTTTCCCAGGCAAAAGAAAATGCTTTCTGATAAAGATATACGTCCAGTTCTCTTGGCAGAGCATTTAATCAGTGTCCGCGACATATTCAAAAAGAAGATTATTTTTCAGCTTTTTGAAACTGGATAGAGATATTACAAGAATGCATTTCGGTATTGAAGGGTTTCTTTGAAAACATTTTTATAAAACGTAACAGCTACAAAACTTTAACCCAGTGACAGAACATATTATATGAACCACGTATTACTGTCGGAAAAGCTGAAAAACATAATATCTACGCATATCAAACTTTATTAAATTCATTAAAATGATTACTGTCTTACATTAGGCAAATTATATTGAAAATATTATGATATTTTGAAACAAAAATATGTTTACCTAAATGAATATACTATGTTATTTATACTATAGTTTGTAGCTTATTTATATTGGTTTTAGTATACAAATGTACAATATAAGTGTGACAATCATTCTTATTATATACATTCACATTTAAGGCTTCATGTCAGTAAATATGATAATGAATACTGAAATGAGTATAATGTTAACATTAAAATAAAAGCAAATCAGTGTACTAAAATAAATCATTTATGCTTAAATGTCTTTACTTCAAAATATATGGGAAGATTATTGACAGGTATGAAATATGTCATAAATTGGATAGTGTATACTGAAATGAATTTTACCTGCAGAAGAACTTGCACTCCTATTCTAAATGTTGGTGCACACACACAGTTGTAAAATGCCTTGATCTTTTTGTTTTCAAACCACCTGTACGCGGACATGGACCGAACTCTTGTCATGTGTTGTTCAAAGTCACCCTGATGATATAAATACATGTATAGGACATTGTTTTCCAAATCACCTTAGTTATATGCAATGCAATAGATAAATAAAGAATCCCTAAAGAAAGCCCAACACGGCAAAATTGAAAATGTTGCAGGCTCGGTTTGATCGAGCCTGTTCATGGACGGTACTGGAAAGTGCAAGTTACCGTCCACGCCCCCTAGCACCGGCTTAAGCAGAATTCAACATTTAAACATGAAATGAAAAAGACTTACCTGGAACACGTGACCACAAACCAGAAGACTTTGTTTCTTAGTGATCGTTGACGCAAAGTCCACGAGATTTGCCCGGTTTCTTGGATACCCCGACAGCACGAGTAACTGAGGACGATAATTCTTCACGTGGTCATCAACGTTGATCAATTTTAACGATGATCTAAGGGCATCTTTGTATGCGTTTGCCTGCGTGGATGATCCCCAGTTTACCTCTGCAAAAATGCAGCAATCATTTGGAATGATTCTAATGTTGTACATATTTAGATTATACACATAAAGTCTGATGTTAAAAAGCTTTATTTATAATGGAACTTAAGTAATAAGCATTTGCCTCCAGAAAAGATCAAGCTAGCCTGCACATTAGTACAGCCGCTTTAATATAGAGGCTGTAATATCAAACACGAGCAACAAATTCACTCAACAAAACAGGATGTGTTATAGCTGAAAGAAGAACACTTTTTAGTGCAACAACCGAAACAAGGAATACATTTGGTATGGACAAATTTATTTTTAAGAAGTCTGAGCGTTTGGTTTACAAAAAAATAACAGCCTAACCTGGCTTTGTCCGAAATACGTAAAAGTATAAGCCAGCGACAATCAAAAACGTGACCAGCGCCGCCCACCAATTGATCAGGAACATTACGGCAATGCATAACAGGGATCCAATAAGACTTAACCATTTGCTGTAATACTTGAAGCCGGGTCTAAATCCTGGAGAATTGGCCATTGAAGCATCGAAGCATGAAAAGTTGATCATCGCATATGCCGTCAAGAAGAAGTTGGAAATAATCGGTGCAATAATGTCGAGAGAGCCTGTAAATCAAATAAACAAAAACTTTTTGTTAGCATGCAAAAAAGGTGTTTTCCTGCTATGTATGTGAAGTCAATGCCTTTTCAAGATATAACATTTGGCAAAAGATCGTGTAAAATGGTCATTCACCTCCGGGTTCCATGTGCTTTATAAATTATGATATTATATCAAATACTAGTAAACATACGGGAATTGACCGTAAATGACGATTTCGAGTTAATAGAGGGAGCATCTTGAAATTTTACGGGGTAGAAACTCATATGAATTCCTTGTAGTTAATATCAATGTTAGGTAATGTTAAGTATATGAAAACTCTGGTAGTAAAGACAGAGTAAGACAAAGTAAACTGCACGATTTAGAAATTATCGTTAAAACTATGGTTAAGCTAAGCGATCTAACAATCGTCATCCAAATTCGTTATTTTAATACAATTCTCACTCTTATTATATAAACATAATTCCTTGTCCTACGATAAAACATAGACACGATGATAATATGTCTTTTAAGAACATCATAAAATGTAATTAATTATCAGATACTGTGTAATGTATTAACAAATTATAAGAAAAAAACACCCTTACCCACACAAACCATTGCTGAGCAAATAGCAAAGCATAAAATATATGCTCGCTTTGGTTCCTCACTTGGACCATATCCCTTTGCAAAAATGTGAATAAATGGGAAAAGTTTGTCTTTTGACAAAGCCTGAAATTTATATAAAAATGATACGTATTTGTTGACAATATTTAATTTCAGTTTCATATTTAGACAAATATAGATTGTTTAATTCAATGTAGCCATGTGATTAAAATATTTGCACGGTGTTCTTCTACTGTGTTCTAAAAAGAGATTTCTTATCAAAATTGCAACCAATTAAAAACGATGATTTGCCCTTGTATAAATACCTCATAACCTAGATTGTTACTAAATTTACTTAGCCAATTTCCAGGCATATGCATAACGTCAGTATGAAACTAAGCCAGCCTGCAGTTCCGAGCAATCTGACCAGGCTCAATTCCGTTGGATGATTTAAATGTATTTTGATTTATGAAAACATTGAAGTTGAGGGTATACTATCGCCCTCTTTTGAATATTTTGAAAACCTATAGTTCTTTTTCTCGAAAACGATTCATCACCTTGTATATCCGTATCATATGTTGTATAGGGAGAATATCTTCCATTCTAACACTATCGCAAATTTTTCTATATAAACAAAGAAGGCCTGAAGCGTGCATTTTTCTACAACAATGCACTCGCCGTTCTTATTATCTCCCTGTGTATTTTCACATTGAGGGCGCCATTTTGTTTGAAAAATATGATAAATAAAAACAAATTTTTGTCGAATTTTGCTGTGAAAACTATCTAGAATGAAAGAAAATGGTCGAACTAAGAAAATTAATCCGAACACCAATATCTTTAATTAAGTCGTTAACGCTGTACAGACGTTTAAAGTGTTGTTTACGTGACGTCACAATGTAGCGCCAAACAGCACGTGCATAACAATCAAATCAATTTTAATGTCGCAAACGATTTAAGTTTTACACTTATTTCACTTTTAATAATTTGTGTTTCGCTTGAAAAATTATAGAGTAAAATAAAATAAACAAACAAAGATTTATCAACGTTTTCAAAATTCGTTATTCTCAAAATGTTTCTACACACGGTAGATTTAACGACAGTTTTTTTCAGTCCACTGGAACAGCCTTTAAAGAACGTTTCTATTGGAAACTCTGAGGCGAAAACAAATTTATCCACTAAACATAAAGTCCAACTTTATTATAATAATTATATTTTTTCTTGACGTGTTAGAATGGAAATAGATATCTATTCTTCATGCATTGATGTATAATAATGCACGTTTTTCGTTCAAATGCTTTGTAATTAATCACTCAGGCCTATCGGCCTTCGTGATTATATTACGCATTTGAACTCAAACCGTGCATTATTCTACAACAATGCACTCAGAATTGATATCTATTTCCTAAATAAAGATAAATGGAAAATAACATTGGAATAACTAAATATGCGCTATCAAATGATCAATGAAGAGCAATCTCAATCCAAAATGGTCACGATGTTAGTAAATGTGGAGAAAAGGTCAGTAAATATTCAAGTTACAGTGGTGTAAAATCAACATCCATGCTTGGTTGTATGCTTCTCAAGAATAAATCATGACTGAAACTGATATAGCCACTTCATGATATCACACAACAGTTACGAGGGGTGTTCAAATATGAATGCAACTGGGTCATGCGTTTGATATTTTCTTCCAGCAATGTGTTTTTTTGAGCCTCGGGAACAGAAAAAAGTCACATGGGGCAAGTTCTGGCGAACAAGAAGGGTGAGGAAGCTCGACAACATTTTTCGTGTTTACAATTGCCACTTTGTTTGACGAAATATTGTCATGCAACAACCTGACACCACGGATACCAGTTGCTGGTCGACGGTTTTTGAAATATTTCTTTAATTTATGAATGGTCTTGCCTTTGTAAAACTTGGCATTTACAGATTTACCCTTTGGTACGGCAATTTGAATAGTAGGACCTTTTTGACACTCATGATGCGTTTTGCTATTCAAGGTCTTTGACTTCATTTGGTTGCCCATATTTTGTTATGCATCTTCGCTTGGGCTCATAAAAGTTAACCCACGTCTCATCGCCAGTGATCATATTTGCGAAAAATCGAGTGTTGTATTAAGGGAACTGTTTCAAAATGTTTTTGAAGATTCTTACCCGAGCAAGTTTAATGCTCTTTTGTAAGGAGATGTGCTATCTATCTGGCACTTATCCCTCTAATTTTTAAATCAAGTCTGAGAATTGTATAAGGCGGCTCCTACAGAAATAACAACGCATTTAGCTATATACCTAGTTGTAAAGCTTGCTTCATTAGCAATCAATCCTTAACTTTTTTTAACCATTCTTGGCGAAGTTGCAGATTTCGGACGGCATACAGGAGGTGCATCTTTTACTGAGTCCACGTCTCTTTTAAATTTCTTACACCACAGTGTGACAGATGAAAAAGTACGTTCATTGTTCCCATAAACACGATATATTTCATTAAATGCATACCAAGAATACAGCGGTTCTTGGTATAGGACCGTATTTGGTTTCCCAACCATTTTAGCTTTAGTATACACGAGTAGATAGCGTTAATCGAGCTATTGTCAAAGCTAGACTGAATTGATTTACACATGTTTTTATCATTTAAGAGCTTATACAACCATCAATGCGATACATGTACATAGTTCGTGCAAAACGTAGTTAAAAGCGAGATATTGGCCTAGTTGCATTCATATTTAAACATCCCTATTAAGACATTGTATAGACTACATGAAAATCCCCACACGGTTTACTGTCGTAAATCAATTTAGTATAACAGTCAGAGAAAAGTTTGTCATTTATGATAAATTGTTTAAAGGACGAATCCTCAATCCTAACAAATAAATTTGACGACCTAATAGTCTAATACTGATAAGAACTTAATTTTAATGGTTCTTCTTACCTGGAACACTTTTGGAGCTCCGACCATACTTGCCAAAGCAGAAGATAATGTTGCTGAGAATATTCCCGCCAAAATAAGTGGTTTCCATGCTGACGCAATTACGACCATCTTAAATAAAAGAAAAGTGTTGGGCACTTGATGCCTTAATTTGATTTCTTACGGCCATCAAAGTTAAAACCGTATGTGCAGATCCTAGATATTAAGTGCTCATTATTTCGTTGTTTTTTTCCAACGTTATATAAAACACAAATTTCTAATAGAGTACACAAAGTATTCTTTAAAAAGAACTCACTATCTGCGATATCGAAAAAAGCGATTTTTCAATCAATTTATTATAACTAGAGAAAAGAGAATAAATCTCACGACGGCAATGGTCATTAAACAACAGTTCCTTTCTCCAGATAAAAAAATACTTATTGCATTATATATAAGACTTACCCCATTATCTAAAAGAAGTCCGGACTTGCAGGATTGATTAAATGCCGCACAATTTTGCACTAAGTCTAAAGTCGGGGTAATGGTTGCGTTGGTTACAGGATCCATTAACATTCCCGGTGTTAGAATCTCGCCAACCGCCGTAAGAACTGCACATCCACCAATGGACCATACTATTGCTACATACACGAGTGACGTCAGCAATATGGCGAGAAATGTGCCTTTTGGAATCGCACTTGATGGATTCTGCAAATAAAGGTGTAAACACACACAATCACTTTTAATTTATTTTTCTATATGAAAGCCTGAGTAATAAGCAAGGGAAAGTTAATCGATCTCTTATTGCCCCCCCCCCCTCAAAATAGAATTGCCCTTTTAATAAGCATGTTCATAAGGTTTGACGGTATGAAAGCCTTTAGGGATATCACACAAAGCATTAAAAATATTAAATGTGCATACCGCTAAGTGGACATTAGTATGCAAATTAAAGCGCTTAGAAGAAAAGTGAAATTCGACATTACGAATTGGATCCCTATAAATAATTAATATAAAAAATGTATATTGTTTAAGACAAGTCGGTAACCGTTGTTGAATGATCACACTAGAAGTGTTTCGGTCAGGAGTTATTCAAAAGTATCCTAAGTGCATATATGGCGCTTTTCTTACGAAACCCTCACATTTCTTACTATTATAGTAGAATTCGATTAATTATTATTCCTACATGTGTATTTTCTATATTGTATTAATTTGCATAATATTGATGTATGTACTATTCTTTGCACATGTTTAAGTATTGTTGGTTAAAACAATAAATAGAGGCCATACCTTATAGTATGGTATGGCCATTTAAACACAATTTAAAAGTTTGTTATTCCCTCTGGCTGTTCATAAATATATATATAACAATACCTTGAGGTCTCCAGAAATGTTGGCACCAGCTAGGACGCCGGTAGCCGCCGGGAAAAATATCGCAAACACGGAGAAGAAGCTGTTGCCTTCCGTGAAATGTGGACCAAAGTTCACTGAAAAGGTTTCATCTGAAAGAAAAACTCCAGTACTTAAAAACATGAATATTTTGATGTATGGTTATATTTTTTTAATTTTTAAAGCTACCGTTTAACCGATGGTGCAAAATATTTCTTCAAGATTTTTTTTCATGGAGCTTATAATTCAATGGGTAATTTACAAAAAACGATGCATGGTAAATCATTTATTTAACTCTCATTATCTGTTTAGCACGGGCGGGTGGTACAATCCTCTTCTCCTTTTGCAGTGTTTTGCACCATGAACTCCTTACATGTTTCCATGTTTAATCATTTTTGGTGGAAATAAAATGATACATGTATTTTTACATTCCAAAGGTGCGGTTTAAAGGCAGAAAAAAGAGAGAAATAGTGCGGGTAAATATATTGGTTTGATACTTATGTCAAAAAGTAGTTTTATAAGAGGTGTATTTAACATCTCAGATCCTCAGAAATTTTATCAGACAAAAGAAAGAAAAGAAAAAGAAATGTGTATTAATTTTACCATTATATCCTACGACACCTTTCCATTTCTTTTCATCGTCAGGTGGTATAAAAGTGCCGACAAAGAAATCGATTAAAGCAATACTCAGTATAGCCAGTAAGACAAGCTGTGCCTGAAATAATAGTGCATTAAATATGATTTCATTACTATTGTCTGTGCCTTTTCTCAGTTAAGCTCATGATTATATTATTTTACTTGATATGGGTGCTGTCCTAAGCAAGGTTCTGTCCATCATTTTATTCAGTTAAGTGTGAAAAAAAGAATGCGACAGGTATCGACTAGATCAGCCGATTGAAAGGCCGAGTGATCTTTGTCGATGACTTCAAATCACGCGTCCTTCACCGCTGTGGACTCGTTTCCTATCAAAGATTGGTATTCTGTCATATGAGAAAGCTTTTCAGCTGGCTTACGGTCAGTTTATGGTGCTTCGCAGTGATTCCACCACCAGTTAAGCTGGAAACTCACTGTAAGATCTATGCAGTAAGTGTTGGTATTTCTTAATATCCAAGAAACCTTGACACTTAAAACAACAATGGTATAGCATATGATGAAATGAAAACGTTTACAATGATAAACAAGTAAACGAAATACACGTAGACTAAATTTATGCCAATGAAATGTCACTTAAGTCCTATTATAGCCCGGTATATCCTCTGTGTTTTTATTATAACTCAATAAAAGACAAGAATAAAGATCAACAAGGCAAAGGCAACGTTTACAGGACGCAGCCCCCGACACACCCAAGTAGGGCACCCAGAAGGCACCAAACCACACGGAACATTTCATCAACGTTGCTACAGGTACCAATGTTAACGGAACATTGCAATATGCTAATTTTACATGTGTTTATACCTTCGCTTCCCATTCCATGCCAATTAGTACTATGGCCAGACACAAACAACTTGTAGCTAGTCCGATGATTCTAACTTCATTAATACTGTCCCCTGTGATATACGCATCATGATCCTACAATGACAAGAAAAATATAACATATAAATTATTACATCCGTGTGTATGTAATATAAGTACGGTATATCATTGAGTCCTTGCGATAGATGTTTGTGTGTTTTTCCCTTATCTGACGCTTATTTTGTATAACCAAATTAAATGCTTAAGTTGGCTTCAAAAAGTGACCAAAAATTAACCCAACGGTTTTTTTTCGAAACGTATAACTATTACGATGGCAAATAGATGTTTAATTTTAATTCATACTTTTTTGCTAAACACCAAGAGTCTCACAATATAATGAAAAGTATTGAAAGAATTAAATTATCTTTTTTGCATAGTTTGACTCATGTGAAAATGCAGGTTATGTCTCGCCACATAGTCACGGAAAACATGCATTGTTCATTTTTCTGTATTTAGTGTGAGCAGATAGTCATATTATCCTTATATACAGAGGTCAAAGGTTATACTTTGTTTACATTGGTCATTTGAACATGGAAAGCACTATGATAAAACGGCATTTTTGAGAAGCAGATATGTCGCGGTAAGTGTTCACCACACCATTATCACAGAGACTGGACAAAGTACCCGTTAGAATAGTACATCCGTAAGTAGGCACCGCGAAGGCAGACAGCAACAACTCTTTTATTGTTTATCCAGGTCCATCGAGGATGGTTCAACATCAATGCATCTTCGTAGTTACCTTTATTATGCTTCTGGGGTAATATTTTAACTCAGACAGTGCCTAGAACGTTACTCGAGAGTAATCTCCGATTATTAACAACCTGCATAAGAATCCAATTGATTCGTTTGTAATGGCTGAATAAGCATATTGGGATGACTAGACAAAACTAAAGACATTGTCTCTTCAAAGATTATAGACATACTTGACGAGCATCTGGAGAAGACAGAAGACCTGTTGAAAGGTTTCAAAACAATACTATAGTTGAGCACGACCGTAACAGAGATGGTTCAGTTATGGTGTGGGAGAGCATCAACTGGGACACAATAGGATACATTGACTGATCTCCGGTTCATTGATGAGATGTTAGACACCCGGGTTAGGATGTATGCCGGGACAGTGGTCGATGAATTCATTTTATTGGACTATATAATGCGCGTCGCCTCTGCTAACTTCGGAGAGGAAGAAGAATGACAAGCTCCACCACCCGACCTAAATCCATTTTAACATATGTGGGAAGAGCTGCAGGTATGTTCTTCAAATGCAACATAGAACCATCCAGGACCTTGGGGCCAAAATGGTGCAAGAATTGACCGCTATTCCCGCAAGGACTGTCAGAAACTTCATTCGCAGCATGAAAAGGCGTTGTCAACCAGTTGTTCTTAACGATGGGTTACATAGGCACTACTTTGCCTAAACTTGTAAATATAAATGAGGTTATGAAAATTTGGAAAATAAGTTGCATGTCCAAAAATCTTAGATATAGAGGACCTTCCTCATCTGTAAAACATAACTAATGCATAAAAAAGTAAAAATGTTACCATTGTCTTAAATTTCAATAAAATTTATTTAATATGAGATTCACATTGAAATCATTTGAAATAAAACCACTGCCGAAAATATTCTCTGAAACAGTTGGTGCTTAGCAAAGATTGAGCAAAATCTTTATGTTTCAGTTCATTTATTTTTTGTTAAACAATTGAATGTGGAATATACATCTTACTTTCAAAAACACTAACATGTTTCCACAACTTCATACCCTTACCACACAAATTCTGTGCTTTTATATCTTTAAAACTTTTTTTTGCTAGTAGATTGGTCACTGACATAGTATAACTAGACACTAGACAATGTGGAACGTTTCAAACATATCCCAATTCAAATCTATACACACGTAGAATGTTAAGTATGCAACTTTATTAATTTATCTGCATAGTGAAAAAAAACCAAATCCTTTACTGTTAGTACATAAAAACTTACCCACATAATGTCCCTGACAGTTTCTGCAAAGCCTACAATGTACATAGCAGCACCAACAGCGTTTGCTATGGAAAATACTACACCAATAGAACCACCGAACTCTGGTCCTAAGCTCCTTGATATCATATAGTACGCCCCACCTGAAATTTACGCACACATAAGCCAAAAATATAAATAAGACTCAAATTCACGTTTTAAGTTTTATTTTGTTTCACGAAGAGTTACTTGGGCCCGTTCTAGCTATGGTTCTTGCTTCAACAATTTTATAACCAAATGTTTGTTTGACTTACCTCCCTTTACCTCTCCATTGGTACAGATTGCGGACATTGACATTGTAGTTATAGAGGTTACTGTACTGGCCAAGGCAATAATGACAGTTGCTAGTCCAATACCTGACTGCCCTGTCACCCATGACAACCTCAAAAACAACATTACACCAAATATGTTCAGAAGACATCGAACCTGTGAAACAATTCAAAAGAATGGAATATTTTACTGATAAGAATATGATATCATGTTAATACGAAAGCCTTTATGACTTATAAATATCACCCCAAAAATCAGATTTTTGTTTTTTGTAATTAAACACATTATACATTTTATAGTATCAAATTGTTAACGATGAACATATTTTTCTTTCGTCATAAGAGCTCGTCAAAATATCATTTTATGTTTAATAATACACTAAGTTCAACTATTTTGTTTGTCCAAAACACATGGGTACCATTATATTTAAGGCGTAAAACAGGTATTATAGTAAGGTAAGACAATCGTCTTGTCATAAGTATCAGATAAAAATATGGTTCTTCAATTACTTTATTTACTTTTTCTGGCATATGCGTAATAAAGGAAATGAGAGACAATTTTCTTACCACAGTTCTTGCTTCACTATACTGAATGATTGGACTTAACGAATAAAATATGCATCTCATATTCATCACTCATAGTTCTTTTTTAACCTGATTGCGTTTAACAATGTGTCAGTCCGATCTTTAAAATACTTTAATGTGTTAGTTAGTTCACTAACTAGATGCATAGTTCTACCATTATAGATGCTAGTGGTTATAGAGTTAAGTTTGAAGGTCACAGAATCTTTATTTTTCATGCCAAATGTCACATTTCTTAAACATCATACCAGAACGCCAATAATCCATCCAAACTTATGACCGGAGACTGTAACAGACGCATTCTTTAATTCACCTGCTTCAGTATCGTCATACAGTTCGTCGGTAAACATTTCTTTTGGTGGCTCTTTCGCTCTCTAAAAAGACAGATATGCGTAACATGCGCATTAGTTTCATGTCAGATTTGTGCAAATTCAAATTCAAATTCTTTATTTCTCTCAGCTTATCATACATGATACAAACATAAGGTATATAACAATTAACATTTGTAAAAACGGCAATACAGACATGGCAAGTCATTTACAGAGAACAATCACAATACATAAAAAAGATTAACCATCTATTGTTTATTTATTTTTTCTTCTTTCGTTCAGGAGAAAGTAAATTATTTAGTGTATTTAGTGTAATGGAATGAATTTAACATCATTAAGCTTAAGGCAAGAATGTCAGGATGGTATGAAATGTTACAAAACGAATATATAATGGTGTTGCCAGTGAGTTAATTATAGGCACATGACCTAGGTAAATAAGCCTATGATATGGATGCTTCTAATGACATTTAATACCTGATGACACGCAATATTACAAACAAGAGTTAAAGGACAAAAAAAAGAAATCCGCCGATGAAAGTTATTTTTTAATGTTTTAATGTTTAAAATCTCTATAGGCAGCATTTGTTTTGTTATAAAAATTATTGGGCCTTGGTCATTCTATATATGATATTATAGTAAGAACCACCGAAGCTGCGTTGAGGCAAAAATGGGCAGCTTACAATTTTTTTTAGAATTGTATGATAATTTCAAAGTAATTGATATACAAATGTAGATGATCCTCTTAAAGTTTTCGATGTCTGACATAGTTCAAAGAACTTGAAGCAAATTTTCAATCTTTTGGTCTAATGTATTTTATTCTATTGCGATATAAACAAGTTCTCTCATAGTTGGCATATTTACATATCACATCAGAATCGGCGGGCTTTCCTAAAGGAGAACACTCAGATATTGATTATCCGTGGAAGTCGGTGTGGTATTGTTTGAGCTGCGTCACGACAAAACCAACATAATGGGTTTGCGACCAGCATTGATCCAGACCAGCCTGCGCATCTGCGCAGTCTGTTCGCTGTTCGCTTACCAACCCTATTACAAGTAGAGAAACTGATAGCGAACAGCATGGATCCTGATCAGACTGCGCGCATGCGCAGGCTGGTCTGGATCCATGCTGGTCGCAAACCCATTATGTTGGTTTTGTCGTGACGCGGCTCATATATTGGCTTACTATTATTTGCATTACCCATTTTATCCCTGACCATTTCAAGAAGTGAGCCTCACTTTATGTTTGAAAAATGCCGCAATGAAACTTTGCTTTATTATGCTCTTTATTTTGATTTTCAGAATAATCTGTCGTTCACTTTGTTGCATACTAATTGATTTGCCTATCAATCTTTGTTTTTACATAAATAATAAAGATATGATACGTAACGATCAATGCTGAAAGCCCTATTTTAATATTTACATAAAAAATGACTTAAGTTAGGCTTGAGGCTTCGTGACATTAAACATGAGTGTTAATTTATTATATATCCTAAAGTTAGATGTTTCAACATTTTTACAATGTAGTAGATCTTGAGTCCGAATCACGATACCTGTGAGGAGTAATGACACTGTTCTTTTGATTTTTTTGTTTTTGTTTTTTTTTTCTCCTCAATTTTTTTTATACCGTTGTCATTGTTACATATTTGCATCAACCGTTGCATTCAATGGTTATTTTGTTTCATTTGATTTCTGTCATTATGTCCATCCAAAAGTGAATGGTGATTGTTCAGGTAATTAAAAGCTTGTCATATTTGTTTTCAATTTTATAATAAAAGTCACCTGAATCATTAACCCCGTCACCCACATAAAAATACTAAATAGCTAATAATATCCTTCTGAAATTACCGGTAAAGTTCAATTAATAGAAAGTGGGCAGTTGTTTTATTATATTTTAGTCAGTTTTTATAATGACAATAAAAACTGACTAAAATATAATAAAAACAACTGCCCACTTTCTTTTTTCATAGTCAAGTTGAACTGAAATGACTATATATTTCAAAAGATTAGCTGTTATAAAGGTGAACAGTTGATATGGAAAAATGTTAAGGATAAAATATAAAGCTGCCTAACACATACAAAGACTGTCCCACTCTTTTTATGAATTTGAACGTTACAAGTAAATTCCGATAGATATAAACAGAAATTTCCTTTAACCATGTCCGTTATTTACCGTTCATGCAAAGTTAATCATAAAATTGAAAGGAATTATGGCAACTGTAAAACTTATTCTGACTTTCACATGCTGACTCATATTTAGATAGATAGACATAACCTTAACATTGGTAATTAACAGTTATCAAATAGTTATCTATTGAATTTATTATACAACTAGTATCAATTGTATTGACAGTAAAAATGTGTAAAATTTTACTTTATTAGTGTTGAAATGATGTACGATACTGACATTCTGTAAGAGACAGAGGTAACTGGCGACATTCCACTTGTTTACAACGGTTAAAGGCATTGTGTAGACTTGATTTTTATACTAAAACATGTTTAAACATTGTGCATCAATTGACTATTTGTTGCTTCACTAATAATGGCTATTATAAAAGGGATAAAGTTACCATTTTGTCGTAAACGTGTACAGTTTCAACACATTCCAACAAAACATTTTAATTTTATGTTTACTTGCTTATAGATCATTTGTTATAATACCTAATATCAAACAGAAACATTGTTGTTAATGAATAAACACGATAAACGTTATGCCAAAATTACAAAAAAATACTTTAAAAACAAATATATGGTAAGATTTTATACACTTTCTGAATTTCTTTTGTCACATTATTCCTTATCAATAAAACAGAAAACATTCAATATCTGCTAAAACAACATTATCAGGACCATATCTTAATGACTGTGTAAATGTTTCATTTGCTAGACAACTGATATATAAGTATACTTACAATTTCATCTTCACGGAGTTGATATAAGGTTGGCCTTTGGTTGTCAAACACGCTCGCTCTGTAGTGGTCTAAATGCGGAATCCTTTCTTCCCCGTCGGAACCTATGGTACCTGTATCTGAGGAATTCCCAATTGAGAACACAGACACTCTTCCATGCTGTGACGGTCTTGGCAAGTAATGAGCTTGTGGGTAGTAGAATGCATCCGCTGATGTTTTTCTGCTGGTTGGTAACTCGCCATTACATGAAAATGGCAACAGAGATATCCTTCTGTAATTAGGAGCAAGTGGAATTCCTGCATAAAGTGGGTGTAAATATGGTCCCTGTTGAATAAATCCGGCAGCTTCAATGTTTTGTGAACCTTGCCTACTGTAAGGTTGTCTTTGCATTCCTATATCACTATAAAAGGATACTCTCCTGCTCCCTACATGATCTCCTTCACTTAAAGTTTCCTTTGGCTCGGATTTTAACAAACCAGGATTGTTCTTTATATCAGATTTGGTATCATTTGATTCCATATCAGTTTGACTGTCTTGGTTATTAACAGTATCCTTGTATTGAGAAAATGGTAAGCTAGAAACGCTATCCTCCTTGTCTTTTTCCAAATCTCCCATTGCGAATGTGTCGTCTGTTTTGGTCTCAGATACCGTATTTACAATTATTTCATTAATGCCTTTTATATCATCTGTGCTGTGTTGATGATCCATAGTTTAATTCAACCTATATATTTTAGCGAATGCTTTTTCATAACGTAATTAATTAAGAATTATAGATACGCCTCCGTTTGTCAAAAATAACGTATTGGCGTATAACCACAGACCACAAATACTACAATTTGAATTCAATCGTTGGTCATGCGTAAAGTTGTCAACATACGATTTATTTTAAAAGAAAGATATTTTGCAAAAAAACAACAACAAAAAACAACAACAACAACAACAAAGAAAAATACGAATTGATTAATATAATTAATATTACTGTTTCCCATTTACTCGTACATTAATAAGGGCTTATTTTTCCTGTATTCATTTCAATCAATTTTTTGTGTTGTGTTTTTTTTGTTTTTTTTTTTTTTTTGTTGTTTCTTCTTTCTTTTTTTTGTGTTTGTGTTGTTATGTTTTTTTCTGTTATTTTGTATTTTAGGTATTTCCTGATGAGAGTGAAAGGTAGTTTTACTTTTAATGTTTTGATATATTTGATTTGTACGGTTTGCACTATTTGTATTATTTACAAAGTTCTCTTAATTTTGAGATATAGCAAAATACCCGGGCTTGCAGATTAAAAAGGCTTTACGTAGGTTTTATTCTCTTTACCCACCTTAAACGTTTATACATTTACGACGTTTGACCTGTAAAATAATTCAATAAAAAATACACACAGCGTTTTCAAATCTGTAAATGTAAACACAACATTTTCCCACCATCTACAAAATTTAATGCATATGAACATATGCAGTACTATGAGGCGTAAATCTCAACGTCATTTCGACGTCAAACTACCATAAAGTTCACACTCAAAATGAAGTCTCAAGTTAATACGACCAAAAGCTGGGACAACACCCTGGGTGCAGAAGCTATAAGAATCAAAGCCATAAATAACTAGAACTATCGCTGATGGTTATTCTTACGTGTCTTAATGTCTTGTCTTAAGGATTGCTGTGCAAAAGTATGAAGACAGTACATTCATTATTTGAATGTACAAGTTTAAGGTCTTGTCCAAAGGATTATTTGTCCAAATGTGAAGGGAATCCATTTATAAACTAAATTCCGCGTGAGGATATGCTCATTATATTGTTGATATCATATTCACGGAATCATTTTGTATGTTGTAACACAGATACTTAAATTTGCATTTTTTATTATAAAATATTTGAGAATATGCTTATAACATTATTAATGTTACTTTTAAGGAATTTATTAGTTGGTTGTTGTTTTCAATTTTGAAACTTCAGTGTTGAATAAGTTTCTACAGTGATGTGATAAATGGGTACGAAGCTCAAGTCTGACCAAAAGACTATTATCTATAATGTAAAGGCTTTGGTATTTATTTATTATTTTGCACAGAATAGGCATAAGTGAAGATCTTATGTTTTGTTTTTTGTTAAGATTGTCACGCACCTTGGTAAATTATTCAACAATATTCTGTGTGTTTTAATATAAACATTATTATGAACCATTGTACATGTTATATTCCAGTTAATATGATATATTTCAATGTGGATGGTACGGAAGCATAAAATTTGTAATAATCGATTAATGTCTTAAAGCAATGATGTAAATTGACTTTTGTCTCGTGAGTAATTGTCTTCAAAACCTTCTAGAATTTAAAATTTTTTATTGTTTGTTTAAAAGGAAATTTTTTACTAAAATTAAGTTCCAAAACCCATTCCCCAACTATATTATCAAAAATGTTTTTTAAAAAATTTTTTGATATTTTAAATTAAGGGTTTTGGCCCTTCCCGGGTTTAAAAATACTCCATACCACGTTTAAAAAAAATTGTAACCTTTTTAAACATTTATAAAAGTTAAAATTGATCTGTAAATGCACCCGTCAAAATTTTTATATGTTAATGTATATTTTATTGTAAAAGGGCCGTGGCCAATATCAATAAATAAATTGTCATCGACATTCTATTCTGTGTTTAAAACCCTTTCGTATAAAACTTTACCATTCCTTAATATCGTCACTTTTGTTTCCCTTCCCTTTTTTTTTAGCAATACTTAAATTTACTGCAAAAATAGCCCGTCTTTACACAGAACAGGGTTTGGAAAACGGTTTTCCATACGATTATATTATTTAAAAATTATTACAGGTTTAATTTTGGCCCTTTTAAAAAGGGTTTATTGTATATAAAACCCCCCCGCAAAATTAAAACCCAATTTTAAAACCCTTAAATTTTGAAAACCAAATTTAAACCCGTCAACAATCTTTTTAACCCAATTTATAAAACTGGGGAAACTTTTTTTTCAGAAAAAAAAAGTGAGATTTTTTTTTTAATTGAAGAAACCCTGGTTTTAAAAATTATAAAGCACATTATCCAAAATTAAAAATTTACGTTTAAAAAAGTGCAGTATTATAAGGTTATACACGGGTTTAATGGTAATGCCTAGTCACATTAAAAGCGGGGCCGGGGCCCATTAGAGGGTCGGCGGGGAAAATCTTGATAATTTTAGCCGGGAGAAAAAATTTTTATCAAAGTCCCCGGGAAAAAATTGGGGGGGTCATTTTCCCCTGGGGGTCCCTTAAAAGGGTTTTGGGCGGTTTCCCCAAGGGGGACTCCCCCCGGCCAACCCCGGGGAAACCCTTGGCCCTTTTTTTTTCCCGGAACCCGGGCGAATATTCTAAAAATTCCCGGGATACCCTACGTAAATGTCCCCAAATTGGGCCCTTTCCCTTATCTGGCCTATTTGAACAAACGTCGGTGATGAAAGTATAAAGTATGAAACTGGTGGTAAACCCCACGGATTTTGTATGAGATGTTACCCCCTTTTTCCCGGGCCCTTATTCCACCCCCCGTTTTTTTGTATTTTTTTTTGGGGTTTTTTCAAATCTATTTTTCCCCCCCCCTCCTTGGGTTTCTTTTTGGATGGGAATATTTCCCCCCTAAATCAAAATTTTTTCCCTTTAAAGGGTTTTAAAAGAAAAATTTTAAAAATTTAAAAAAACCCCTTTACGTGTTTGAAAAAGAGAATAGTGTGGTGTTTAAATTTAGTTTTAATTCTTGCCATCGGGGTTGGCCCCCTATAGGCGAGTCCCCCCGGAAAAAGTAAATTTCATTTTAGTTGTTTTGTTTTTTTAGGAAGCGGGAAAAATTTAAAATAGCAAAAATGCCAAAATTTCAGAAAAAATGAAAAAAAAAGGAAAAGGGAAAAGGGAAAGGGTGCGTTCAAAAGAAAGCAACCCCGCACCCATTTCCCGCAAAAACAGGGGTTTACGACCGTCAAGGAGCCCAAACAGCACAAACCCAAAATTTTTTCCCTTTTTTCTTTTTCCTATCCCAAATATTTAAAACAATCATTCACAAAATCTTTGTCCAAAAAAAAAATGAAAGATTCCCGGGAATTTCAAATTTGGGCATCCCCCGGGAAAACGGAAAACCCCCAAAGTCCAGATTACAAATCTAGCGAAATTTAAACCCCCTTCAGCTCTGCACGTGGCTAAATTTGGGGAAATGATATGGGATCTTGATTTATGGTGGTTTTTTTAAATGATTTTCCCGCACGTGCTTGCCTTTTGTCCCCGTCCCCGTTTTTTTTTTTGGGGTCCCCCTGGGGCCCCTTTCCCCTGGGTTTGTTGCTGGAAACGTGTGGGGGTTGTGTTCATTTAACCCCCGCATTTCCTTGTTTTATCTGTTTTTTATTTTTTTACCCCATGGAAAAAAAGGCAGTAGGCCAAATGAAAAATACATACCAGAGCCACTCAGCCCCCGGGTATTTTCCTGGACAGTTGTCAAGCAGTTAAAAAGTTAAAAAACTCTTTCAAATTTTTCAAGGTTTCTTTATAAATTTTTGTTTCACGAAAATGACCCTTTTCCGTTGTCAAAAAATTGAAAAACGGGTCCCCCTAAATATACAAACCAATGCTTTTACCTGCCCTAAGCCCAAAGGGTTCCCTTTCGGACAAACCCCTTTGGACCCTACGGGAAACGTTTTCTGCGTCCATCCCCCCCTGGTCAGTAGCCTGTCGAGAACCTTCGGGGACTGTATATACCGGGTCGAAACTGGGAAAAATATTTGGCGCCCCGGGGGTTTAAAAAATTTTTTTTAAACCGGTTAAAAAAAAAAGGGGGCCCGGGGGGGGGTATCAGAAAGGGGAAATTTTAAACCCTTTTATGTAAGGCGAAACTGGCGATGTCGGGGGGTCACCCGGGCCCGGGGGACCTTTTAAAAAAATTTGGGAATTTTTAGCCCCCTTCAGAATCGGTAAACCCCATGGGTAAAATTTCCCGGGTGTAAAGTGCGGGCTTAAAAGGGCTGGGTTTGTTTTGGTTTGAGTTTGATCGAATGTAGCACGAGAATGTACAAATTAAGCAAGGATATACCCCGGACAAGCAAAAGGGTTTTAAAAATGATTTGCATAAAGGGAAAACATATACTTGTTGTAAAGGTTAGTGGGGAAGTACTGTCTATTTTGGGACCAAGTACCCCTAGTACGGGCTTTATACGATTAAACCCCGAAAAATTTCGCAATTTTACTCCCCGACTTTCACAGGGGTTTTTTAGGGTGCAAGTTTTTTGCTCAAAAATTTTCCAAAAATTTCATGTATGGGTTTTTATAAAAAATTTACCCCTTTTGTGAAATTTGGGTTTTAAAAAGGGTTTGAATTTTTAAAGGAACAAGGGAAAAAAAAAACCTTTAAAATTTAAATGGATTTTTCTAAATTTAATTTTTTGCTTACCGGTTTTTTAAAAAATACCGAGAAATAAACAAAAAAATAAAGTTAAACGTCAATTTTACTTATAAAATAACAAGGGGCCCCCAGTTCTCATGGCAGAGGTTTTTAATTTGGGGGCCCCGGGGCTGGATGGCCCTTTTTTATTCCTTCTGTTGGGGTGGGAAAAATCTTCTTTGGGGCATTCTAGTGTGATGCTGAAGTAATCTGGGTAGAAACTTTGCATTGAGGGGGGAGTAGGTTTGGGGTGCTTTTTTGTTGTTACAGAAACGTTTTCTTGACGTTTGAGGGTGTGTATGGGCCCTTTGGAGGCCG